CGGATACGTTGGGGGAACGTGAACGACGAGTAATTTTCTTAAAATTTCTGTTTCGAATTTAACGCTGTGTACTTCAAGAACAGTAGTTTTGACAGCGAGAAGATGGGATGGCGATATTGGTAGTACGGCACAACTTTTCCAGTCATTTTTCTATTACTTTAAAGTCACTAGTTTCAAAAAGCAGACAAACACCAAAATAGCTATAGTACACCAAACCCTTAAGGTTATCGTATACCTTTAGAGCACCTTTAGAGGTGTCTCGCGTCCAAAGAAGGTAGCGCGTCCGGTTTAAACTGTAGATACCTAAACCCCTATATAAAATTAAAGCTTATAGAACTGGCTATCACACTATACCAGGAATTTTGAAATAGAATAAATTGTCGAATTTTTCACGACCTCTAAATATGAGCGTCGCATCATGATATGGGTCCCTTATGAAAGCTACAAGTCAAAGGGAATTTGTTTGTTTACCCTCAAATTTGGACAGTAGCTAGCTATAGTTTGACATATAAAAAACAAAACGGTGTCTGCGAATGTCTTATTTCTAAATATTTTCTTCCCCGAGAGCGATTTTTCTACGTTCACTCCATATTTTTTTTAATCCTATTTCGAAAATGTTCTGTCACTTTTCACTGAAAGTGAACATGGCAAATCGCAGTCACTTTTTTTTTTAGCGTTTTGGGTCCGGAAACTGAGGAACAAATCAAGTAAAGCGAAAGTTAAAATTCGCTTCGACTTGTAGCTTTCAAAAGGTGATTCGAACGCTCGCATTTAGAGGTAGTAAAAAATTCGACAAGTCATTTTATTTCAAAATTCTTGGTACAGTTTGATAGCCAGCTCTATAAACTTTAATTTGATATGAGGTTTATGTATCTACACTTCGAACCGGACTCGCTACATCGCTTGGACGTGAGACACCTCTAAAGATGTACGGTAACCTTATAATTACGTCTATAGGAAACTTAAAATCACTCTGGTCTCTGTCTGGTCAATCACAAAGAACACAGACAATCCAGAGAACCATTCCTAACTTGAAGTTAAGACTTGAAGCTGACGAAAGGCGCGGGAAAACGTGTGCGAGAGAGTCGCGATTGGTTTGAAATGCTAATTACGTTCGACAATCAAGGGATGCAGGTCTAACGTGTCCTATGGTAACCGGTATTTCCAGTCAGCCTTGAGGTAGACTGGAGCCAGCCACGTCCCCGAGTTGAGAGGCCAGTCCTCTTTGCAAATCATAGTCGGGGATTTTGATTTCAATAAATTCAGCGCTGTTTTCTATCCCAAAAATATTTACTAATTGATATCTAACTAAAACTCTTCGATTACGTCACTATTAACAGACTTTCAAGTCCTCCACAACGATAGGAGTGAGACGGGGCCACTTTCGGTCAGAACTTTATTTCTGTTTTAAGATCCGTTTGTTAAAATCTCAAGGAACTTTTAGACACTATAGCGGAACGGGTTTTTTTTGGTAGAGACGAATCAGTGAATTTTTTTTTGCGAAGGAAACCAGCGTTGAATTATTGAAAATCGTAGCCTCGAATAGAGCATCTGGACGTTCCTAGAGATCTTTCAGATCATTTAGATCCTTGGTGCTAAATAATGATCACTTTTGTGTGTAAGAAAAAAATTAATGTGTCTATATATTTAGATAATTTGTCCTGCCGATGACAGTATTTTAATTTAACTTATTTACTGTTAGAGATCTCTAAAGGTAGTCCTTTACATAAGTCTTTTGGCTTTACTGGGCTTCTTTGCCTCATAGATTTTATATTTGTAACGTTAATCTAATTGACTGTGGCAAAACAATAGTACCGTAATGATTCGATTTAGCGTCCCCTTCCGAATATGCACCCCTTTTGAATGAATTTTTATTAATAAGCGCCCCTATTCCAATAAGCGCCCACATTCTAATAAGCGCCCCTATTGTAATATTATAATGCATTATAATATTAAAACGCCGTCAGAGTACGTATCAACGAAGGTTCACCTTCCTTTATTACGTATAACAAAAACAGCGGTCTTCGTCTGATTTTCTCAACCATTGCATAATTTCTTGAAACGACTGATCTCTATCGTCGTCAAAATAGATTAAAATGCGTCTGAACATTCACGGTACATTTGTTACTGTTATGGTTTCTGTTATTGTTCCTTTTTTGGTAAATACCTTATTAAAGTTTTGTTTTGAACATTCGGTTGTTTCTTAAAAGAGAAATAAGCGCCCGTCCCGAAATAAAAGCGTCCTGTCTCGAATAAGCGCCCTCCCTTGAGGTCGGGCGCTAAATCGAATCATTACGGTAAACTAAACTAAACTAAACTGAACTTAACTGATCTGAACTGAACTGAACTGAACTGAACTGAACTAAACTAAACTAAAACTAAACTAGTCCACGAGCTAAGACCCCAACAGCTAAGTGGACAGGCGGCACTAGGGGCAGGAATGATCGTAGTATTACCCCTGGGCATTTTTGTCAGATTACCCCAATGTTCTTTGGTGTGCATATACTTTTCCAAAATGGAAAATAGCGCTTTGAGTATGTGCTGCCTTGTGGCCTAAGACCACAACACTACTACTCTGGCAAGGCGCAAACCCGGCAAACTGCAAGATTTTATTCCATATTTTTATCAGCTTATAATGCTACTTCAGCTTTATAAGTAGGTCCGCGTATGAGCCAAGTGGCCCATCAGGCCTGCGCTTATCTCCAGATTCTGCAGCATGAAGCGACTAGGAGTATTTCTACTCCCCCCGGATGGCATGCTAGCCCATCACAGGGTTATCCCCAGCATTAAATTCCCCAGTACTCATTTATACACCTAGGTGGAGAGAGGTGCTATGAAAGTAAAGTGTCTTGCCCAAGAACACAACACAATGTCCCTGGCCAGGGGTCCGTTTCTCGAAAGCCCCAAAAACTTTTCGGGCCTGCAAAGTCATTTTTAGCAAATCTGTATCTAAAAACAGAAAGGTGTATACGCCTGAAACTTCTTGTATGAACGGAAGCTCTGTTCATGTTACGAATATGTGAATAAAACAGCTCTGTAATCATAAAGTTTGAGCGGATTTTGTTATGGCTTTCCGCGTGCGAAAACTTTTCGAGACCTTCAAGAAACGGGCCCCAGGACTCGAACCCGGACCGCTCGACCAGTTTTAAAAAACTTCTCATTTTCTCGAAACAGAGCAAGGTTAGTGCGAATAATAAAGAACTAATCTGGAATTTATGAGGATCATGATGCAATTAACACTGAATTCATTTAATTAGCAATGGATCAGATTACAATATTATTAAATCTCGTCCTTTATTAAATCACTTGTTTAATCACCGTGGCAAAACAATTACCTTGCGTGTAATTTGAACGTGATTCGTCGCAACAAAATTGTTTGTTTTTCAAGGAATAATAACAGATTAAAAATTAGGAGCTTTTAACGGGGTATTAGGTGGGTTTTTTTTGGGTGTGTTTGTTTAAAACCTGAATAAAATAAGACAACGCAAGGTTATCGGAATTTTGATGTCTCTGTTGCTGGTTTGTATCATAGTAGAGAATGTATCGTGAGTTCATATTTGATCACAGCTAGCACAGTAGAGAAAGAAGTGGGCTGTGTCCATGGTTTAATTCGTGACAAGATTTCACAAGCTAGGATAATTTCCGATGCTTAATGTTCCGTTAATTGCCTGCAGACATTACGAGCCTTATCTAACAACGATCTTATGCCAAAAATCAAGATTTCTATTCTTCTTTCAAAGAATAATAACAGATTGAAAATTAGGAGCTTTTAACGGGGTATTAGGTGATTTTTTTGTGTGTGTTTGTTTAAAACCGGACATAAAATTAGGCAACGCAAGGTTATCGGAATTTTGATGTCTCTGTTGCTGGTTTGTTTCATAGTAGAGAATGTATCGTAAGTTCATATTTGATCACAGCTAACACAGTAGAGAAAGAAGTGGGCTGTGTCCATGGTTTAATTCGTGACAAGATTTCACAAGCTAGGATAATTTCCGATGCTTAATGTTCCCTTAATTGCCTGCAGACATTACGAGCCTTATCTAACAACGATCTTACGCCAAAAATCAAGAATTCTATTCTTCTTGCAAGTTATAAATACCTTCAAAGTTTCCTCGGTGCAAATCTAGGTGACAGAACTATAAATCTCTAAATCCATTAGTGAGAGTTTGTAAGGTTTTTCAATTAGTCAGCCCACATCATAAATACTCACAGTGAAGAGGAAAATTAGTAGACTGCAGTGGTTCGCCGCGACTTTAATTTTGAAGGTAAGTTATTCGTTTTTGCCTCAGGCGCTTAAACTAAGAACTATGGTTGCTTCTTTAATCACAAGAATGGTATAAAAAGGTTCAATTTGACGAAATCTCAGTTATAATTCCACTCAACTGTGATACCCCCATCAAACTGAATGTTTAGCCGCTGCGCTCCTAATTTCTTTATAGAAGGGATAACCATTTTATCCTGAATCTGTTCTCAGCTGGTTATCTACTTTTTTTGTTGTTGTTGTTGTTGTTGTTGTTCTTTTTGCTCTGTTCTGCCTTTCCTCGGATAATTTGGAAATTCTTCTTTCTGAATACCACAGACTTCCATTCATGTTAGTCTTAAGAAATTTATAAAGCATCAAATCAATATTTTCCGTAAGTGTCTTGATTTCCGCAAGGACACATTAGATTTTCACGAGTTGGGTGTAGAGTGGAACCCCGCCTAACGGACACCACGTTAATACGGGCACCTCGTTATTACGGCCACTTTATTCTTGCTCGAACGAAAGCTCAGTCAATCATTTTCTTATTTAAAGAACCCCTTTCATACGGTCACTCCGTTAATACGGCCAAATTTTGGGACCTGTTGGTGACTGGATTAACGGGGTTTCACTGTACTAAAGAGTTTGGCCAAACTTCATCACCATTTAAATTTAATCTGAACATCTCACATAATAGACCTTAAAAATTAAGCGTTTCTTGTTTTTCCAAAAAGCGAATAACACTACCTTGTAAAATCTTGTGTTCTTTAAACCGATAAAATCTTAAACTTACTCGTAGTTCTGGTAATAAGGAAAACGAATTTCCAACGCTCAGATAGCAAACGATATCAAAAATATTCGAAGGCAGATAAGTTTTACTGAATAAAATTCGAGAGCTCTGAGTGGAGACGAGCAACTTTACTGAAGATAATTATCAAATGACCGTCCGAGCAAAAAACATCAAATCATAACTATAATCAAATATAATTTTTCTTGCCGATAAATTGTTCTGAACAAGAATCGGGAAATCTGAGTGAGACGAAGTAGTTTGCAATTGCTGAAGAAGACAATGATCAACTGCCTGGTTGGTATATTTGGTATTCACTTCAAAAATGCACTGGTTGAAACTGTAGAAGGCAATTAACACATCATGAAGTTCAGCAAGGGTGGGGCAAAAAAGGCGTCCCATATCTAAATAACAATATTAGATATCATATATGAGAATCAGACAGATGGAGTCCAACGGAGTGGCAGGTGGGAAAGTGTTTTCCCAGGGCCGCAGCCAGACAAAAAATTATTAATGAGGCAATGTACATGAAAAAAAATGTGACTGAGACAATGCTCAAGGTTAAATTCTCATCCTAGGTATTTTAGGGTGTTTATGATGATTATAGACAACAACAAAAGTGACTGAGGAAGGTACCTCGGTTAGCCCGTTACTAGTTACGGCACCGATTCCCAACAGATGTTACCACTATGATGGTGACAACTAAAGGACTAGAAGTAATATCAGAGCGTCCAATAGGCACTTTGAACGAACTGGTCACATGGTACAGAATTTTCGTTTCGATCTTAACAATATCGATTCTTATGAACTAATCGCAAAACACATACAGAAGACGAACTTTCTGGAATGGACCGGTCTTCGTCACTCTGCACTGTTCGATTTAAGGAATGCTTATCACTATCCAGATCATACAGCCCTAAATCCATCTTTCAAAATTGACTGCGGCTTTTTTGATGTAACTAAAAAGAAAAGAAAGACTATTACTCTCTTTTTGTCCGTCAAAAGGCTTGCTTTCCTAATAACGTGAGAAAATTAAAGTGTGAATTTAATTTAACTGATGAGACACTGAAAAAAGCTTTTTCTCTTCCCCATTCGGTTGCTTTTGAGCCATATGTCAAGGCCTTTCAGTTCAAAATATTGAACTCTATACTCTACACGAATTCCAAATTACACAAAATCGGGTACTTTGCAGATTATCTATGTTCTTTCTGCAAACTTGAATCAGAAACAGTGCAGCATTTCTTTTATGATTGCTCTTATTCAATTTCTTTCTGGAAAGATTTCGAAGTATATTACTTATCTTTGACAAAACAGTAGATACATCTTAATTTGAAGGATATATTAATCGGTCTTTTAACACCAGAACTTCCCTTACTTAATTATCTGTTACTTATAGGAAAAATTTATTTATGGGCGTGTAGAAGGAATAAAGAACTTCCAAGTATACGAGGTTTTAAATCAAAAGTCAAATTAAAGTATGAGACTGACAAATACATCTGTGCAAAAAATAATAATTTAGATATGTTTAGGAAGAAGTGGGCAATATAAATACTAGAAGTCGTTGACGGAATAGGCTCAAATAGGTGTGACTTTGCTATGTAAACTGGTTCGTAGTGCGTGTACGTGAGTGAGTGTGAATTAGTTGTGTTAAACCGTAAGTCCTGTTTATTATGTATAGTAAAGTAGTAAAGTATTGTAACGAAAGTCGTGTAAATAGTTTTGTGCAATGCAATCAAAAAAAAAAAGGGGGGGCTGTGCAAAGGGCCTTTTAGTTATACTCACAGACAGACACGCTCTAAAACATGATTGGCCGCATGTTAAATCGCATGATAAACTACTATCTGATAAATAAATAATATGAGACTGCCATTGGTGATTCTATCGACATAAACAACATTATGCCATGACATGGTGATTGATTATAGGAAGAGAAAATACGTCTCAAAATTAGCCGGCGGAGTTTTTCTCGATCAAAATTGTTTAACAGCTTGAATTTAACAGCGCGAATTTACGAAATCGCACCTCCGGCTGGATAAAATAGAATTAACTGTTGGTTTGTGTTACGACTGACTCTGGTTATTAACGTGGGGCTTTGGAGAACAATGTTAAAGGAAATAAAATCAAGTTGGCTCGTAAATTAATGTCCGCGGTAATCCCGCTGAATACCTAAGCCTTCTAAAGGACCGAAGTGTCAAATATGGTTCACAGACATACAGACTCGCGGTGTCTGCTTTCACAGGACTATCGGATTTCCAAAATGGAGGTCAAAATGGAATGAAATTGAATAAACGTCATGCAGGATGCAGCCTTTCGATATTCTGACAGATTTCTTGGCGATTGAAATCTTTGATGATGCCAAATTTTAATTTAACGCTTTTGTCAATTTTTTTGCGATAGTCTTCCTATTTCTCATAAACTCGCGGTTATGTTCCATGTTGCCATGGAAGCATTTCATGACAGAGTAAGTAATTTCGAGCGACTTTGTAGTCTTATTATTATTCACAATAATTTTTCTGTTTACAGAGCTCTCGACCATGATCAAGCTTAACCTAATCGTAATTGTATGCGCTATGGGATATGCTAACTCAGGTAAGCACTATCGTTGGTATACCGTAAACTGCCGCTTATAGGGCGCCCCGCTTATAAGCCCCTCCGTTTATAAGCCCCTCCGCTTATAAGCCCCTACGCTTATAAGCCCCTCCGCTTATAAGCCCCTACAGCTACAGGCCCGTCTTCTGTAAACCAAAAATATACATCTGGTTGTAAGCCCCCTCCCGGAACAAGCCCCCCTCTATCTTTCTTTGTTTTGAATTCGTTTTATTATGGTGTTTTAAAGCTTATAACCAGTAAATGAAAAACTATTTCGATCAACATGTGCAGCTATAGCTCGTTTGGAAACGGTTTTTTTTTTTCTGGTTGTAAGTCCCCTCGAATATAAGTCCCTCCGTTCAGTAAGCCCATCTGAAAACCCTTACGACGTTGTGTAAGCCCAGGGCTTATAAGCGGTAGTTTACGGTTGATAGATCTAATTCAGTGCATGGCAGTGCGCAGTGAGCAATGCAGTCAGTTTACCGATGGCTATGAGCTGTTTTCAGGTTGAAGAACAAATAACTGAGACTGTTTTGTAAGTTCTTCCTCGTCCGTCTCGTCTGCGCATTTTAAGGCCTTCTTTCGATTTATGAAAGGTAGCTGTTTAACCGATCAGATTGTGAGTTTGCCAAACATCTGACCAATCAACCCAAACCCAAATTGCTCGCCTTAGTGAATAAAACAGCCTCTTCCAAGGGCAGCAAAGCAGACGTACTCAGAAATTCGCAAATTGGTTTGGTTGTGTTCCTTATTTGCTGAAAGAACAGCTTGTACGTTCTGATTGTCTTTCATTGATCAAACCGAAAATCTAAGCAGACACGATTACTTTATCGACGGTTAACGACGTAAAATATACAAAACCACTTGTACTTTGGTTTATGCAGAGCCTTTTTCTCGCATTAAAACTCTGTATTGCACATATATGTTATTTGTTCTATTTCTTGTTGGCTTCTCGCCAATCTTTGCTGTTACAGTGATAAGGGCTTCGTTAATATTTTGGTTTAAACCAGAGAAATATCACAAACCCTATCCATATATATACACTAATAAGATTCTTTTTAATCGTGTACACATAGCAAAATTGCCTTGGCATACATGTTCGTGCAAGAAAAGGGTACTCGTTTGCAGACACTGAAAAGCATATTTGGGAATTAAACATTTTGAATCTGTCAACTCAAAATTGACGTGTTGTCATTCTCGTTTCGTGTTTTCTATGCCCCGTCTAAGGACATGGTAAAGCGCAAAAGCAAAAACTTAAAACCGTTATATGTCGTTGTCATCGTTCCTCGATTTCGTTTGTCCTCCATTTTGTTTCTGTCGGCTTTTATTTGCAGCTGATCCACCCTTCAAGACGTGCAAGAGGACTTGGAGAAAGGTTGGATGTTTTAAAGATTTAAAAGGAGGCCAAAGGGCTCTTAAGGAACAGTTGGTCAATATACGAGACCCTAAGAGCAAGGTGTTTCCAGTTGGTGAACCCAAACTAAGCTGGAAACATTTGACGCAGTCGTTCCACAGGTAAGCCTTGAAGAAGCCTATGGGCCTGATTCAGTTGGTATAAGGGCCCAGTGGTCCCATAATCTTGCACTTAAGTAACATACTCAAATTTTGATTCGTTAATAAAAATTGGAAACGGAACAAATGCTTACGAAGATTTGCACATGATGTAAGTTGTTCCCTCGTTGTCTCAACCGGCCACTAAATTAGACATCCCTCCAAAAGTTACCTTGTCAAATCTCGAAGGATTTTGTGTAATTGAAGTAATAATCCAGCAATTAAGGTGATGATCTAGTCTTGCTGTAGCAGTCTCTATTCAGCGGTCTTGGTTAACTCGACCGAACCCTAAGCTGGACTATGTATTGCAACAGTTCTTAGAACTCTTGGTTCTCGTTTGCGAGATAGGAGGGGAGGAGTATCTACGTAACATGCATACTTTGGCTTGTCAAGCGATGGCCCCTTTGAAAGGTGTTACGTGACGAGTTTTAAGAACGTGTCAATATAAATGGCTGCACAGATGACAGAGTACCATTAATAAGAGGTACTGATGTTTCCCTGTTTTTTAGTCTTGCCTGCCTGTGCGCTGAAAAAGCGCGCAAAAAAGGTTACGGCGTGTTTGGTCTTCAATTTTACGGCGAGTGTTGGGGCCAAGTAAATGGAACAGAGACGTACTCCATGTTTGGTGCCGCGAAGCATACAAGTTGTGTCATGGATTATGCTTATACAGACAACAAAATCAGTGGACTGAAGCACTGCGACATCTTATCCGAGCAAGAGTGCGTTGGAGTACACAGCACGAATTATGTGTACCGTCTGGATGAAGGCATGTCTTTATGGCTAATTGTTAACAAACGTATTGTTTCTTAAATTTCTCCACTATTATTAATTTGGGCTGAAATTTAGAACACACCGAGATCCAATTTCCCGATATTTTTTCCTTTTTGCGTTTAGTATTTGAGTCATATAACTGCACTTTTTTTTTATAAGAATCTTTTTTATAAAAACATTGGAATTGAGGCTGAAATTGGCGAAATTTTGAAAACATGTTCAGAAGATACTTAACGCTGGGATTATGTTAAGGACACTTTTGCGTGCATGTTGATGGAAAGTTAAATACAATAAAATCACTAAATGGTTTACCATCACATTGTAAAGTATGACTCGCCATATAACACGATACAGACACCATACAGTTCTGTTTGATCGTCCAATAAGTGGCCACACCCGTTTTATTTAATAAAAGAATGTACGCAAGAATACAGCCCAAAGTCGCCAGAAAATACGATAAGACAACCTCATGCAAGAAAGAGTGTATAAGTCCAGTATTGATGAGTGGTACACTACCAGGAAGCAAGGATATTAGAAGATTGGAAAGTAGAGAATTAACTCTTAAATTTGGAGTGCTGGAAATCGATGCAAGTATTTCCTTCTCAGTGTAGGCCTGTAGGTCGTGGGTTCGAATCCCTCCGAGGTTAAAGAATGTTTCTTTACTTCTTGTGTTACCCCATTTCCTTTCGAAAGACGCTCAGAAAGAAACATGTAAGTTGATTTCCATCACCTCAAATTACTTAAGAGTTCATTCGTTAACTCTAGTATTGTTCAGCCCTGCTTCTACAGATTCGCTTTACACGCTCCTCTTCTTCTCTTACCGCCTTCCTAGACCCAGGCTCACCCGGCGATGGAGGATGGAGTGAATGGGGAGAATGGAGTAAGTGTGACAAGTGGTGTGGGACTGGAAAGAAGAGTAGGGAGCGAACCTGCACAAACCCCCCTCCAGAAAACGGTGGCAAGGGCTGTGAAGGACCTCACAAGGAAACTGTCAGTTGCAAGCGGATTGACTGTCGTAAGTGAGAGGAAAAGTTTAATTTGATGCATTATTTATTTCGTCATTCCTGCTCTTCGGTGGCTAACCTTCAAGAGCCCACCATGAGATGACCACAAATATAAAGTACCGACCTCATGACCGGAGTCTTCGCACCCCTTGACCAGCAGTGGGGAAGCGAGAGATCCTGGAAAGTTCCGAGTTGAAGTCCGAAGATAGCAGAATTCCGGTTAAATTGCGCGTTCTGTGTTACTTTGTCATACATATTCTAAATCGAGTTAACTATTTTTTTCTTTCCCGACCTATTTCACTGTTTTTTAAACCAGTTAAAATCGATCCTGCAGAGGAACTCTTGAGAATCACTCATTTCGTCAAATGACGACCTGCACCGTTCACGAGGTTCTTTGTAACTGGCCAAACGAAACAATAGATAATGACACAAACAATGCCCTGAGGCGTAAGAACAAAAGAGGTACAGGTTAACTGTTCGTAAAGCTTGAGGAGTAAGGAACAGATGGCAGAATTTCGGAAACTCGCTTCTCAAACTCAATAATTATTCATCAAGTTAAAACACCCGGTCTTAATTAGCATAGATTTCAACGATTTTACTTTTGCGTGTGCTCCTTAGTTTTTGTTTAGTTTGAGAAGAAATATCAAACACTCGAGACAGTGTTTCATCGGCTATCCAAACACCTCGAATTTCGTCACAAATACTCCACTACGCGTCGTCTTTAGGCTTGCAGGTTGCAAAATTCTTGAGCTCGCTTCCCGAAAAAAAAATTAAAAATGCAAACTCGCCCAATAAATGCGCAGTTGAACAGATAATGACAATGACAATGACAATGACAATGACAATGACAATGACAATGACAATGACAATGGTATTTTTGACGAGGCTACAAGGCTACGCATAATCTAATCCACCTCAGTCCCTCCGTTGTTCCCCTCGTGCGCGAAAACGCTAGAACGACTCGAGCAGCTGCTACTAACTTTCCTATCTTTGTACCCAAGAGATGTAGAACTACAACATATCAGAAATCTTTTTTTTATTAGAACAACCAGAATCTGGAACTTACTCACCGGCAGAAGGGACTTGGTTAATGCTACTCTTACTAGTTTCAAATCTCTTCTTTATGACTACTTCTCTCGTGCTGTCAGAATGAACTACAATCCGGACAATCCTCGAACGTTTAAAACCATCCGTTTGAATTGCAACTCCACAAGATTTCTAGACGTACCAATAATGTTCTGCACGTAATGTGGTTTTTCTTTCTTTCTTTTTACATATATCTTATTTCTGGGCCCGCAGTAATTGGATGCTTAATAGCTGTTGCGATGTCCCTGCCAAACCTCTACATATTGATTGTAATGTGTTTTTTTTTTGTATCATGAAGGCAAAGCTAATAAAATCAAATAAATAAAATAAAGCATGACCATGACAATGGCAATGACAACGACAACGACAACGACAACGACAACGACAACGACAACGACAACGACAACGACAACGACAACGACAACGACAACGACAACGACAACGACAACGACAACGACAACGACAATGACAATGACGATGATGACAATGACAAAACAATGACAATGACAACGACAATTGCAATGATCATGATCTTTAAACAGAGTGCATACATCACACAAATGGTTTTCAGAACGGCCCTGCGTTACAAAAAATGGTCTAAAAAGTGGTACGAAAACCTCAAAACTATAGAACTATAAAAAGCTACAAAAACAAGAGAAATTACAATATACAGGTTAAAAGTGGCAGATTGCATAAGTAAGGTCTCCTAACTTCATCTTACAACGCCCAAAAACCATTTCAATCATACAAAGTTCTCCCCGCGTCATGCAGACCCTCCGACGTAACATTTGGATGCTTTTATTCCATAAGCTATTGACGGTGGCTTTACTCCATGGAAACCAGTTTCAGAATGCAGCAAGACCTGTGGTGGTGGCACACAAAAGTTTGTTCGACACTGCACTAATCCCCCTCCTCAGTTCGGAGGAAAAGACTGCGTTGGACCCAAGGAGAAAGTTGAACTTTGCAACGATTTTGAATGTGAGTAAAGTAGCTAACCTTACTGAACTGATTTTGTAACCGACGTTAGCTTTTCCCAAGACAGTGTGGCCATTCTACGGACACAGACGTCATTTTTTCCAAGTCTGTTTGATCATTCCATATCTACACTAATTTTCAGGTCCCATTCCATGTGTCAAGGCCATAGATCTCGGAGTGATCCTGGACGCAACGAACAGCGTTGGAAGTTTCAACTTCAACCTCTCCAAGAAGTTTGCCATAGCCCTAGTGAACTCGATGACAATCGCTCCTGGTGCGTCCCACCTGGCACTCATGGTGTACAATATTCACCCCACTATGCTAGTGAGTTTTAATGAGGCAGACAAGCAAGATCCTTCTGTTATCAAAGGCATTTTACAAGGGACCCAGGAGCTAAAAGGAAAAACCTTTACTGACAGAGCGATCAAGTTGGCCGGTGAAGTCATGTTTACTACGGCGGGAGGCGAGCGACCTGATAAAGCAGACGTCCTTATAATACTAACAGATGGACGAACCAATGAAAACAGTGAGCCATACGATGTTGTCAACCAGCCACTCAGGGTGGGTATATTCATTTTCACGGATTAGTTTAAGCGTAAGTATTTAAACGGTTACTCAATCCCAAGAAAAGTGTTGCATGCAGTGTATCTTTGGTAGGTATGTTAAAAAAAAAGGTATTATCATCGCTTTGTCGGGCATTGTGGCGCATTTTGCTGGTTAAAATGAAGAATTTTGCGTGATAGTTGACTCGGGGCCAGAGTCAACCATTTAAACAACAAGAGTGCTTCCGTCGAGGAACTATCGGCTGATAGTTGCCCCGCGGAAATTTGATGTTCTTAAAACAAATATCTGCCCGAGAGGCGAAGCTTCGAGGGAAAATATGCTAGTTTCAAGAGCATCAAATTTCCAAGGGGCAACTATCAGACCGACAGTTCCGAGACATAAACACTCTATTGTCTTTATTGTTCACCACTAAATTTTCTCCCGCGCGCCAGTTCAAAAATCATATTGAATTTTTCAACTTCTTTACATGAAAGCCGTGAAAGCCAAATGTAAAATTTGAAAAAGAAAACAAATAAAAACCCTTTTAATACAATTTCAATTGTTCACTTTCTATAAGCCCGCTTTGTTTACAGTAATATTTTCACGGTCGAGTAGTATCCATCCGGGTATTTTCCTCGGACGGGCACTATGGGTTGACAGTGTCTCTCCGCGGATGAACACTATCGCGTCACGTGATCAACTTAAACCAATAAGAATCAGAGAAAATTAAGTGGTGAACTATAACACGCGATAGAAATCTTGTTTTAATAGATAATGAGTAGCGTGGCCAATCAGAGAACGGCACTCGTGATAGAACGCAAGTAGATTTATACTAAAACTCGATAGAAACACGGTACATGCTTTTTATTTCTTAAATACAGTTTATTTGCGCGGGCATAAATATGGTTTGGGCCCAAGCTCTGAGTCTAAGTCGGGCTTAAAGCATATTTATGCCAAGAACATAAACTCTATTGTTTTATCATCATCTGTCAAAAATGGTAAAGCTTCTCGACCTCCCCATATGAAACTTTGTTTAGTACACCTTCTCCTTGAGAATCAGACTCTTTGCAGCCGTTACTTCGATCGTAACGCAATGGTTCTATCTAGCTTATAGGAGAACTTTGTGTCTGAAAAGGTATGAAGGTAACTAGTCCTTAATCAACAGAAGAAATTTAGAATGATTAACTTCTCAAAATCATTGATAATTCATCAAGTTTAAACAAAGGATATTATAACCGTGACGGTGTTTAGATATCTGATCTGAATTAGGATAGATTTCTACCATTCTATTTCTCCGTTTTCTCCTTAGTTTTAGTTTCAATTCAGAAGATATATCAAACACTCAAGACACTGTTTGACCACATTTCCAAACACCTCAAATGTCGTCAAAAATACTCCGCTGCGCGTCGTATTTTCAACTCTCTTCTCGGTCTTTGAAAATGTGGTCAAACAAGGTCTTTCGTATTTGATACATTACTTAGTCGCTAACAATTGTCAAACGGAAAGCCTTAGATAACCTATCTAAGCCCCACTATCAACATAAAGCTTCCCTAAGTGTTCTTCCTAATCGTTTATACGTCTATTTAGGAGAATAGCTTTAAATATCAGTTTCTCCGAACTGGTCACTTGTGGCTAAACATTACTTTGTTTAGAGGACAACGGGTAAAGGTGCAGCCTCGAGCTCGCGGCTCGGTTTAGCTGTGCCTAAACTCTTTGAATCTACGTGGGTTGACTATTGAAGAGTTTTCTTCTACACAGGCGAAAGGTGTCAAAATCATCGCAGTCGGAGTCGGTAAGAGGATCTTCAAAGAAGAGTTGAAAAAGATCGCCCTGGGTAAAGAAGAAAACGTTTTCCAGATTTCGGATTTCGACAAACTGTCCAAGGAGCTGTTGCAGCCTATTATCGACATGTCATGTCCGGCTGGGCATTGTAAGTAAACGCAATCACTCTCTTGAGAATACATCGCTGGGAATTACTTCTCTTCATTAATTAATCGGTTTTGTTTCCTTTTTGCGCAAAAACAAAGCAGTATTTGTTCTCCTTTTTTTTTTTTTCAGGAGCACTTATGACCTTCATAGAACAGACGGAAAAAGCCACATCTCTATTGTGAAAGAAGAGTCTGTCTTAACTAATTAGAGGATTTAGCAAAATTAAGAAGGTTAAAAGGAGAAATAAATTTAAAAAAAGGATATTAACGCTGAGAAACGTTCTTGTTTATAGTAATTACGGCTTTAAACGCAGTTGAACCAAGCTAATTAATGGACAAGGTAGCGTGTGTCCTCGTTCCCATTTTCGCGCGCAATAATGAGACATCAATGAAGGGTAACCTAGCTTAAAGTTGGTTCTTCGTTCTTACTTCGACAATCAACGTTTGCCCTAGTATGACTAGGAACGTTTCTCTCTATCATCGTCGCCAAGAGACCATCGTCTCTTGTGGCTGCTTGATTGCTTAGTGGCTGAATGAAAGGCACCTCGGATATCGCCATGAACTGGTACTTGATTTCCTGTCTGTCCTGGTTCATGCGTGCATCGTATCACAGGCGTTTACTTAATGCGTGGACATCACCTGCTTTTGTTGCGTTTGCCATGGCTCGTTTGTCTGTCGAGAAAAAGCTGCTTCAGAACATCAATATATTGCGCTAACTCAAAGTCATCGCGTTGTTGTAATGTTCAATCAGAATTCCTCTCTATCGTCGATGCTTTCTGTACCCGAATCGTTGCACACTTTCTCCAAGTCTTCCAAAAGTTTTGGGCAAGTTCTTATGAGGTGACTCTGGGCGCCACATTTGTGACAAGCCCTTTCGTTGCGCCTTGCATATGGACATTTCTTCATTCTATGCCCATTCTCGTTACAGTTGTAACACAGACTCGTGTACTTTCGCGCGCCTTTTTTGACTCGACACTTGTGTGACAGGCCTCTCACATTTCCTCCGTCTGTCGATGTCACAAACACAGCGATCTTGCCTCTTTCTGAGCTGACTGTTTTGAACCGAACTTTTTCTCCTTCCTCGAGGCTACGGTATCCTTTAGACTTGATAGCGCTCTGAAAAATAGAACGGTTAACTAATTAATGAAACAGACTTTGTTGAAAAAGATTGCAGCAATAGTTTTCGAATGGACTACGATTAATGAAACAAGGGAACTTTCCATTCGATCCAAAATGCCAGAACTTTCGAAGCGGAGGAATATAGAAGGGTCATTTCTTGGGAAAGGTTCCTGAGAATCCGAAAATTGATAAGTTTACGAAATATTAACCATTTAACGGAAATTCGAAGAGCAAAATTAAATTGAACGGGAATTCGCGGAAAAAAAAGTTGGAAAATTTGAGTATGCCTCGCGGTAAGATGCATGAAAATACTTTTCCATTCCCCACTAGGAATTTTCGGAAATTAAATGAAATGCAAAGCGACCAAGGATTGGAACTTCCGTGTGGTCGTGCTTTCAATAGCGTGTGTTGCGTCCTGTCATGCAGGTTTAGGAGAAAAATAGAGACTGTCTTTAGCATATTCGGACTATTCTGCCTTCATATTGTGGCTACTAAGAGAAAACTCATTTCTTATATATATTTTGTGGAACTCGGTGTCAACATGTTCTGGCCGCATGAACTTACTAGACTGATATTAGATATAGCGAGCCTATCAAAACTGCCAAGGGCAAGAAAACGTGCAGTCCTCTATAAAGCGCGGGAAGTAGTATGTGAGTCAAGTCACGATTGTTTTGTGTTTATTAAAGAGACAGCAAAAAAGCTCTCTGTTCTCCAATATAACAAGTAATGGGCAGTCAAAGCTGAAACCGGAAGGATTACCTTTTCACCAAACTTAGTTATCTCGTTTAAAGCAAAACTTCTTTTCGGATAAATGACGCCGAGAAACTCATCTGTAATTGTAATTGCAGTGAGTACGTGTAAAGAGGAAGGATACTGGTACAGTTCTCCTTGAGGGAATGAAAACATTTGGGGTTAGTTTACGAAAATCAAAATCAATGAGTCGCTGTAGACGTCAGCAAAAGAAAGGTTCAACGTGCTTAGACTTTCAGAAATTAAACAAATACCGCCAAATAGGAGGCAAAAATAATATTCAGGTTTATTTATGGTAGAGAGGGACATTAGAAGAAAACTAAGAAAATGTGTATTGATTCTCGTATTACTGATGATATTATCTTAGTTCTACTAAAAGTTGATCAAGCCGGTCTGTTTTCATACCGTGTATTTGTTAGCGTTAATTGCGATAAAAAAAGGTCCAAATATTGTTTTTGCTTTGATCCATGAATGCGTTTTCGACTTTTTTCGGGCTTATTTTCGGTAAACTGACTCGCTCAATAAGCGATTAACATAGGCGATCTTGAACTATGAAAGTTTTTCGCCCGATGAACCAGGAATACCCTTTTTTAAAATAACAAAATAACGAACCCCGCTGAAACATTCTCTTTTTGTTTCTTGTGAACAAAGCTGCAAATAATCTTCGCCTTGCTGAAAAAAAATATTGACTAAAATTGAATTATCAGATCGATCAGGTGCTATTCTGAAGAGAATAACAATAGAATGAAGCTATTGTATAAACCAAATTAAAATTGAAAGCGTGTATTTCATTAAAAATGTCGGCCGAAATACATACAGAAGAAGCTAGAATACCAGCAAAATCTGTGTTCAAGAATTGGGGAGAACAAGCAGATATGTTGAATAACGTTAAATATTCCTACCACAACAGATGACAAATATTCAAAAGGAAAATCGTCATTAAACCACAAAACTTAAGTATAAAAATTAAGAATACGAGTTGTCTAATTATTTTTATGTTACAAAAGTAAATTTGACAGGCCACTGACAACAACAAAAGTTCATCAAACATGTCAAAATTCCAATGAAAAAACCATGCTACAATATGGCACGTGGCGCTATTTTTTCCAAGCGAACTCACCGGTAATGAAGGAACCATCGCACGGTGATTCGATCGATGAATAATTAATCATTTAAGGTGCTTTCCACAAACACAGAATAAGTTTTGAGTAATACTCGCATACCGCAAGAACAACCAAGAACGCTGGCGGTGTATGATGAAACACCAAAGCAAAACATTCAACCAAAAAGGTTAAGTTTATCTAACTCGATTAAACCCTTCACATTTTTTGTGTCTTACCTGGTGAACGAAAACGTCCTCTTGAGCGTCGTCCCTTGTGATGAAACCAAACCCTTTGACAAGATTAAACCACTTTACCGAGCCCGTAATTAGCTCGCCTTCGTCAATCTTTTCCCCTTCTAAAAACGGCAGTCAAGCGAAAAACTACTTTGGTTAGTACAGTTAGTATGACCGAAGAATTCTTCAGTTAACAAACTCTGAGTTCCTTTGTTTGCTAGAAAGTCTTAGAGAGCTGGTCCCAAATTAGTAAGCTAGCGAAACTCGATACAACACGCATTTATTACGCGGAGTTCGAACTAGACTCGTAAAAATAAACCTTTACCAAACGAAACTCTCCAGTATTCAGATCTCAGTTGGAAATCTAAAAGAACTTTTAAAGAATCGTTTGTCTGCCCTGCAAAGCCGCGAACAAATACTCTTCGCGATAAAGCGATTTAATTTGAAGAAACTGCATCTCGGTTTAAATAATGATTCAGATTTTAAATCAAAGGAAAGCTTTACGAAAATGGACGCGGGGAAACTGCAAAAATGTAATTCTCTAACAACATAAACAATACCTGACATTTGAGTTGAGAACTTTGTCACAAACACTGAGAGCACTCTTTGCCCGGCTTTGAGGAGCAATTTTACCTGTGAGCAAATTTAGAATTTATACAACCGCAGCCTAAATTTCCATTCAGTCAGCCCGACTTGCTGTCACACAAGCCTCGAGGGAAGGAGTTATTTTGAAATAACCATACTTATCTATTAGTACAATGTGGTATATCTAATAACTCGAAACCTAAGGCTTGCTTTGAACTCTGAGCCAATCAGATGGCTTGTACATGCTCCCTAATTAATCTTATTTTAGCGTCATAAAGGTAAGTCTGTCAACGGTAATATAAAAGAATAGCTGATTTATCTTAAGCCTTTTGAAATCTTGCGTTCTATTGGCTTCATCGGATTCCGGTTTAGACCACGGCACCACCAATTATTCAAAGTCTATTGAATATTATTTCATAGTTATTTCAAAGCCGTTCTGTTTTCGCTCACAGTAAATATTGTTTTCAAAAACCAAGATGCTATAAGACAATGGCAACAGTGAGAAAACTATACGAACGAATACTGACAAAAACAATTAAATAATAGATTCTAGCTCAGCGAAGAATCAATGGGTACATATCTATTCACCGTCAAAACTGATTAAAGCGATATCAAAAAATATAAAGAAAAATTGACACGGTCACCGGTGGTTTACAATTTTCAACATACATTCTTCCGTTATACATGCACAAGTAATGGTGTCTGCCCCTTTTCTATACTGAGAGATGAAATACGCAGAAAATTCAATGGTTTGAACATATCAGACAAAGAAAATTTTGCCGCGAGAAAGCAGCTGTTACTTGCCATCCTTCATTCAGATTATATAAATTGATTACAATGAACAACGGCCAATATAATTTACCATTCTTTGCCCCCTTTTTTTCCTGAATAAAGAAATCGTCGCCAATAAATTATTAATTTTCAATTGGTCTGTCCGTTGTGCTGTCAGATAAGAGATTTTTTTTTTACAATTGTGTTGCGGCTATTTCGTGTTTTCTTTGTGCCTTCTTTTTGTTCCGTATGTTAATGTATTTTTTCACATTCTGCATGCTTTTTTTTCTCGCGTCATATGCAAATTTCGTGGCGTATATATTTGTGTTATCCTTTCATGTTCATTTAGTGCTAGTTTGACTTCCGGTACACTTGTATCTTCTTGGTTTCCTGAACCCCATTGCCAGCATTTTGGTAAGCCGTTTAGTTTATCGTCTGTTTTGTATTTTCCTCTTACTTTTCTGCCGTCTTCGGTTAGTTATTTGTAGTAATTCGTTTTATGTTTATCTTTAGGAATTTACCTTCCTCCTACGGAAAGTCAAATAAATTTGCTGCACTAATTGAAACTCGCTTTAAGTTGTGTCTGAAGTCGCGCCTCTGCCTCTTCAAATTGTTCAGTATATTCTTTTTTGTAGTAAGACCTAAGGCTGGGAGAGCCAAATTTTTTTAACATGCTTGGAACGTATATTAAAAGGCTAAGATTGGGGCGAAAACTGAATTTTTTGCCAATTGCTGAGAAAATAACCAATTAATGCAGGAACAGAATTATAAATCAATCGTATTCAAATCCAATTGGAAGTATTTTAGTCCTGAACGTAGCGACATGACCATGTATGGTTTCAATGTATTTAACAATGATTTACGGTGCATTTTAGCAACTTTCAGGCTCAAATCCTCGAAGAATTTGGAGCGTCAAGCTTCAGCACAAAATAAGACGTTCTTGCAAAAATAGAGTACAGTGTAAAGCATAACCTCCACAACGGTACACTGAAGACATTTTAAAAACGGAATACAAATACAAAGACCGGTACAAAAATTTCGAACTCGAAAATAACACCTGTAACACGTTTGCCCAGAGCGCGCTTTTCCAGTACATTTGCATAGCGTTAGGAATTTTGCTGACGGCGTTTAACAGACGGATGGATGAAAAAATAAAACCCGTCTCGTCAATGCTAAATGCAGAATTGTGTTTCACCGAGTAGGGGATAGGAGAATTTCTAAACCACCTCCAAAGACAGAAATAGTGGACCAGAGGTGGCAGGCAACAAGTTCGGTTTTCCTATCATGTCAGTATCATGTTAGGGAGCTTAAGCAATGATAATGGCGACGCCACGGACGACGGCTACCAAAAAAGGGATTTAGATTTTACCCTCCAATTTCGGTCTAAAAACCTGCTCAAACAAAATATGTATCACCAGCAATCAATTTCAAAGGAAATACGAAAACCTAGCCGTCGCGCGTGATCCACGTTCTCCAAAATACTTAAAGCTTGGCAATTCCCGTTGTTGTTTTGCAAAAGACGGCTACGAAAAGCACAATGATTTCTAATGCACGTGCTAAGCCATTGTTCTGCTCAGTTAACGTTTTGATTGCCGACTTTCTAGTTGCCGTTACCGTCGTGATTTGCTTACGGTTTCTAATAACTAGCCAACTTCCAGATGTAGCAGTGTGAAGTGATTATGCCAGCCGAGTAATCCAGCTTAAATTAACAGTGCCTTGGAATGAGAACTTTGGAAGTGCAAGAGATCTGAGAAACAGGAATCACGAGAAGCTGACTGGCGTTCGCAGAGAGGCTGGCTGGACTCCAGAGCATTGTCACCTTGCCGTCACTTGCCGTGGTTATGTTATCCTACAACTGGAAAACGTGACGCGGTGGGTTTGAATTTAACATTCGAGAATGAAAGCATCGGTGGCTTTTCTACAATAGGTGACAGAGAGAACTTCGTATTTATTGATTGAAGAGAGACGATGAAGCGCGGTTAGGCTTGTAATGGCCGAATTTATACTAGGGACGAATTATCCGTCCGAGATGAATTAGTCGACAGAGACGGGAAATTTGTCTGCCTGAGAAGGATTAACCGCCCAAGTACAAATCCGGAGTTTACACGAATTATGCGGCCAAATTCGTCTTCAACTGATTCACTAGGAAGGGACCTCGCCATGGCAGTGGGCAGCTAAGGACAGGGGCCAAAACTGGCTGCTGTTCTTCCTGATGACATCTGAAGCCGAATCCGTGAATGGAGCTACTTCCGGACTGTGACAAAAAATAACAACAACATAACACAAAAAATGGTGTACATTTGACGCACGCGTTTGATCTCAAACCTGGCGTCTTGACGGTCAAGCGTATGGCAACTTATAAGCGCAGTGTTGGTCGCAGTTGAGGGGATAAGTCTTGAGGCGCGTTTTCTCGACGAATGAGGATAGATAATCCCATTTCTTCCCATGGCAGATGAATAAAGAAGCTTTATCGCCCTAAATTTCTCCTTCATGATGTGTTACCATTCTCACTGAATATTTTTAAAAACCTAACTCTGCATTTTTCGAGCAGCCTTTGAATAAACGTCAAGTTAACTCTATTACGTTCATCTTTGTTTTCTCTCTCACAGGAATTCGTTTGAAAGTCACTGTCAGTTACTGATCCATAACCGCAGTTCTCCACTGTTCTGTCGACTTCCTTTTGGAAATTAACATGAACTCGTTGTTTATTGAGAATGGGGACGATCATGTTAAATTTATCGATTTTCTGATTAATGGTGGGTAACTTCTCCTCGAATTCCTTCAAATTCTGCTCCCATGTGATAGAAGCTTCCAATGTCAGTGGATTAGGTCCGAGTTTTGCCCTTTTTGTCAATAAACCATCTCTGAGCCCTTTGATATCATGTCGTATTTCCTTGTCGAGTGAAATCCATTCCGGCGCAAATCCTGAATCTATCAGTACTTTATTGAGCCTCCGAGTTGTAGAGTCTACGAAGGAGAAAAAGACAAAAGATTTAGACACAGTTACACCCAGATATAATTGAAGCGGAAGGATATTCTTGCAGACACGAAAGGGTGTGGTGTGTACCTTTTCGTGAAAGCTGATGAGGACAAAACTCACATGGACGGCCAAAGTACCCTTGCAATGAACTTCATCCGAGTGAAGATGATTGAAATAAGCGCAAGTAGTAGTAGTAGAAGAAGTAACCAATCAGAATTCTTATGGAAATGACAGCAATGGGTGTGGCCTTGTTTGACAGCACTGCAATGGCTCCTCTCTAGGCTCCTCTAAAATAGGAATTACAAGCCTGATCTGGTAATGAATGCGTTGCCTGAACGGAGACTTACGGAAAGGAAAAAGCTTCCGCATACTTTGGCCATTAAGCAAAAATTTTCCCAAAGAAAAGAGCAAGGAAAGGACAGAATGCAACTTCCTTTTCACATTCATTTCTGTTTGAGGTTTCTCTTGTTTTAATAACCCAATTCATATACGATTCTACCTGCAAGTATAGGGCCAGTTAGCATCCCTCCCCCCCACTAAAAGGTCACATCCTCTAACTCTCATAATTAACCACACACCCTCTGAACCCTACTGTAAGTTGTTGCGATTCTGATTTGGATCATAGACATCGCACCTACCAACATACAGCTCTTGTTCAAGCTTAAGTGGTTTTCCACTCCCAGATAGATTTTTAAATTCCCCTTTAGACATAGCCTCCTGGATGAGATCCTCAACCAGTCTGTCAATGACCTTGGAGTACTTTGACCGTCTTATCGCCCTCTTTTCAGGTTCAGCAATGGATGTTTCTTGATTGCCAAACTGTCGAGTCTTATGATCAATCACTTTGTCTGAAGCCCTCTGCACCCTGTAGTTTTGGTATTGCTTTTGTCTCGTTGAAGGTGAACCAAACCCAATACCTTCATACTCTAGGTATTGCCTAGGAACAGCAAACACTTAATTTTACTAACAGGCCAGTTAATATTAAATATTTAATAATGGGAGAAAGGGGAATAGTCAGGTATTAGCAAACTCCTGGATATACAATAACTGGGTACTAGGCCTGCAGATGTTTTGTCCAAGAAAATTGCCTTCTGCTGCACTTTTTCCTGAAGCTGGATATCAATGCTTCATTATTCCCCTATATTCTTAATTCATAAATCCATGTTTGATTTCTCATGGATATGCATGCTTTTCAACAGTATAATGAATGTTACATGCACCACATTTAAACAGATAACTAAGAGACCCTGAGAGATCAGGGGGTCAGGAACTTAAATACTACCAGTATAAGGGTCAGGAAAAAATCAGGCCAGAAGATTGTGCTCTCGCCCTTTGGATTTGAGCTCATACAGACAAATTCCTGAAAGAGTTATCAGCTTCACCTTTTTTTTTTTAATTTCAAAAACAGTGGAATCAAATTTGATCGTGTTATGGCTTGTACATGCTTCAAGCCATGAGACTAAACCTTTAATCACAAGAAATACAAAAGCCATCTCCTTAGAGAGAGATGGCATTTGTATTTCAATCAAATTATGTTTATGTACTTGTACTAAACAGTTTCGTAAATCTTTGTCTAATTAGTTGAATAGTAATCTTATAGTATATTAATGGTCTAAAATAAATATAGATGTGGCCCACCTAGATTAGCCTAGACTACCTGCGGGTTCACACTGTAGTCATAGTCAAGAAAGCGCTAAGTGTAAAGTGTATATATTTTTGTGAAATTGTAAATGTACGAGTAATAAATAAAGCTGTTGTTGTTGTTGTTGTTGTTGGGGAGGTGCACTGGTCTAAAGGTTAGGTTTTGGTAAAATACTCTTTACACTTTACTATCCATCCATTAGAATAAGTGGCTGCCAGAAAACTGCTAGAAAAGCAAGCAAAATGGGACATTCCATTTTTAATGCACACCCCTCCCCATCCCCCTATGGGGGCCAACCTCTGGTACAGGGCCTGTCAGAATATTTTTTCAAAGAAGGCAGCAAAATTTTAAGCCCCTGTGACGCAAACCTCTAAGGTACCAACTACAGAAAACTGGAGTGTCAGAATCTGCCCTTCAAAGGAGGTGGGGTGGGGCTTCGGATTAAGAATGGAATGTCCCAGCAATTCCCCTACAGAGGGAGTACCAATTTTCATAGTCCGTTCATGCAACAGTACAGAAACCGGAGTCAAGACGAACTTTCCCTACACCCCACCGTCGTCTCGGAAACTAAGGCGTTTATAAATCCGGAAAGTGTATATATAAGCTTAAGTTTTCTGCATGTATTTTATGATTACCTATGCTGTGGAGCAGTGTGATGAATATCAAATATTTCTTTCTCGAAGTCTTGATCGCTGACTTCAGGCCCTTCCTGGGCCGCAGTAGTTACATGATCCATGACCACTCTGTACGCCTGTTCTATTCGCGCAAATTTGCCAGCATCAGCTGTTTTTCTCCCACAATCTGGGTGATACTGCTTGGCTAGTCGCAAGTATGCTTCACGAACATCCACAACAGTTGCACTCCAGTCCACGCCGAGAAGAAGATAACAGTCCTTGACTTTCATGCTGGATGCTGGTGTGCAGAGCATACGGCCTGCCTGTTTAAGGAAGGGATATCCTCGTAACAGCACCAGGGATGTACACGTATTGCGAGACAAAATGTGACAAAATCTCTGAAGAACACAGGTCGCCATGTTTGTTGTTACTCGGTATTACATAATTGTTGCATTACATAACGCACCATCAGTCAGTTAAAGAAACCGCTGACAAACTATTTTACAGCAAGTTCGCTTATGTCGGAAGCCTTACAATACCTTACACGAGTCTTTCAGCCAATACCACCACGCGGCTGAACTGACCAATCACTGCAATCAGTTTCAATGAGCTAGTATAACACCATCGAGTGAAAAATACTTTTCACTTGACTGTGAAGATGACTCCCGCTCAGGTTATCGAAACGTCTGTCAACAACAACAGTTCTCATAAGACCGACTACCCTCAAACGGACGATCACACGATCTCTCTGAGTGCAACAACCAATGTTGATTGCGGGCAAGAGGCGGGGATTTGATGCCTGGCCATGGTACAATCACCCGATCGGGCTATTGATCGTGCGAAGCGGCCCCGTGGTTGGAAAAAGTATGCCTGGTGTCATAATTCGGACGCGGTTACCATGTCTGTCTCTCACAGCCTACGCTTCGGGAAAGGTAAGTTTTTAAATGTTTTAATCGCAATTTATCTGACACTAGACTGACATCTAATCCGACACTGGCTGCGGCCGCACTAAGAGAGTTAACTGGGTTTATTTTTTAGAAACCTGGTTAAAAATTCTAAACAACTTAACTCGGTTAAAGGTTGGTTATAATAANCTGCTCTTCGGTGGTTAACCTTCAAGAGCCCACCACGAGATGACCACAAATATAATGTACCGACCTCATGACCGGAGTCTTCGCACCCCTTGACCAGCAGGCGGGAAGCGAGAGATACGAAAAGAAATCTGGAAAGTTCCGATTTTAAGTCCGAAAATAGCAGACTTCCGGTTAAATTGCGCGTTCTGAGTTGTCATACATATTCTAAATCGATTCAATTATGTTTTTTTTTCTTTCCGGCCTATTTTATTGTTTTTTAAACCAGTTAAAATCGATCCTGCAGAGGAACTCTTGAGAATCACTCATTTCGTCAAATGGCGACCTGCACCGTTTACAAGGGTTTTAGGTAGCTAGCCAGACGAAACAAGAGATGATAACACAAACAATGCCTCTAGGCGTAAGAACAAAAGAGGTACGGGTCAACTATTCGTAAAGCTTGAGGAGTAAGGAACGGAGGGCAGAATTTCGGAAACTCGCTTCTCAAACTCATCAATAATTCCTCAAGTTAAAACACCCGGTCTAATTAGCAAAGATTTTAACGATTTTACTTTGTGTTTGGATATCCCGATGAAACACCGCCTCTCGTGTTTGATATATTACCAGGAGCCATAATATTACATGAAACAGCGAGCATACGAAGAAGACAGCGTCATTCACCCTTGATACATATCTGCAAAATCTGATAAAAGAAACTGGATCGATCATCAAAACCAGCTATTGGTTTCAAAGAGGGACTAGGCTTGCAGTTCGCAAAAGTCCTTAGCTTGCTTCCCGGTAAAAATGATAATGATAATGATAATGATACTCATACTCATACTCATACTGGTACTGATACTGGTACTGGTACTGGTACTGGTACAGGTACTGGTACTGATACTGATAACGATAACGATAACGGTAACGGTAACGGTAACGATAACGATATTAATATTGATATGGAAATTGATAATGATCTCTAAACAGAGTGCGTACATCACACAAATGGTTTTCAGAACCACTTTGCGTTACCAAAAAATGGTCTAAAAAGTGGTGCGAAAACTCTAAAACTATAGAACTATAAAAAGCTATAAAAACAAGAGAAATTACAATATGCAGGTTAAAAATGGCAGATTGCATATATTAAAAGGTAGGCTCTCCTAACTTCATCTTACAACGCCCAAAAACCATTTCAATCATACAAAGTTTTCCCCGCGTCATGCAGACCCTCCGACGTAACCTTTGAATGCTTTTATTCCTTAAGCTATTGACGGTGGTTTCACTCCATGGGAACCAGTCCCAGAATGCACCAAGACTTGTGGTGGTGGCACACAAAAGTTTGTTCGACACTGCACCAAACCCCCTCCTCAGTTCGGAGGAAAAGACTGCGTTGGACTCAAGGAAAAAGTTGGACCTTGCAACGATTTCAAATGTGAGTAGAGTAGCTTACCTTAACTTAGCTTAGCTTACCTTACCCTAACCTTTTCTCAGACAGTGTGGTCATTCTACGGACACAGACGTCATTTTATTCCAAGTCTTTTTAATCATTCCATATCTACACACATTTTCAGGTCCCATTCCATGTGTCAAGGCCATAGATCTCGGAGTGATCCTGGACGCAACGAACAGCGTTGGAAGGTTCAACTTCAACATCTCCAAGAAGTTTGCGATAGCCCTAGTGAACTCGATGACGATCGCTCCTGGTGCGTCCCACCTGGCACTCATGGTGTACAATATTCACCCCACTATGCTAGTAAGTTTTAATGAGGCAGACAAACAAGATCCCTCTGTTATCAAAGGCATTTTACAAGGTACCGAGGAGCTAAAAGGAAGAACCTTTACTGACAGAGCGATCAAGTTGGCCGGTGAAAAAATGTTTACTACGGAGGAAGGCGAACGACCTGATAAAGCAGACGTCCTTATAATACTAACAGATGGACGAACCAATAAAGACAGTGAGCCATACGATGTTGTCAACCAGCCACTCAGGGTGGGTATATTCATTTTCACGGATTAGTTTTAAGCGTAAGTATTTAAACGGTTACTCAATCCCAAGAAAAGTGTTGCATGCAGTGTATCTTTGTAGGTATGTAAAAAAAAAAGGTATTATCATCACTTTTTCGGGCATTGTGGCGCATTTTGCAGGCTAAAATGGAGAATTTTGCTGGCTAAAATCTATTTCAGCCCGTTGAAAACTAGGAGTTTAACCAGCAGTTGTACTATTAATTTCAACGCTTACAAATAACTTTTATCGAACATTTCTTTCATGTCTTTTACAATTTTTGAAAACTCAAATAGCAAGATTTTGTAATTTCTAGCCAACTTCGCTTGATGTATTCTGTATTTTCATTCAACTTGTAATCGCTCGCGTGATTGTTTAGACTGTTTCGTTATCATTGTTTTCAGTTTTTATTTTCTCAATGCCCTTCAAAGTGATAATAAGTATTAGAAAACAGTCCTAAGAAAATACGCGCTCTCATTGGTTAAAAATCGGGTTTCTATTAAACAATTAGATTATGAGCTCGATATTTCTATCGCGTGAGAGTTGACGAGGGCGCAGCCCGAGTCAACTGTCTCGCGATAGAATCAAGAGGGAATAATCTAATTTTTTTAGTATAAATCTACTAGTCGTTCAAAACTTTATCTAAATCCTCTTCACGGACACTTCGAAAACGCCAAGAAGCGGTCGTCATTTTGTTAACAAGGGCACACTGCTACGCTGCTCACTATCTATCATAGATTAGTATAAATCTGCTAGCGTTCTATCACGAATGCTGTTCTCTGATTAGCTACGCTACTCACTAACCTTCTCTATCTATTCTGTGATAGATAGTGAGTAGCGTAGCAGTGTGCCCTTGTTAACAAAATGACGGCCGCTTCTTGGCGTTTTCGCTCTCGATTTCTATCGCGCGATAGTTGACTCGGGGCCCAAGTCAACTATCACGCGATAGAAATCTCCAGCTCATAATCTAATTGTTTAATAGATAGCGAGTAGCGTAGCCAATCACAGAACGGCATTCGTGATAGAACGCTAGTAGATTTATACTAAAACTCGATAGAAACATGGTAAATGCTTCTATTTCTTAAATACAGTTTATGTTCGCCGGCACTGAATATGTTTTGGGCCCTTCTCAGAGCTCATTTTATGAGCTCTGAAAAGCTCTGAGAGTAAGTCGGGCTTAAAACATATTTATGCCAAGAACATAAACTCTATTGTTTTATCAACATCTGTCAAAAATGGTAAAGCTTCTCGACCTCCCCATATGAAACTTTGTTTAGTACCCCTTCTTCTTCAGAATCAGTCTCTTTGCAGCCGTTACTTCGATCGTAACGCAACGATTTTATCTAGCTTATAGTGAGAACTTTGTGTCTGAAAAGGTACGAAGGAATCCAGTCCCTAATCAACAGAAGAAATTTAGAATGATTAACTTCTCAAAATCATTAATAATTCATCAAGTTTAAACAAAGGAAATTATAGCCGTGACGGTGTTTAGATATCTGATCTAAATTAGGACAGATTTTTACGATTCTATTTCTCCGTTTTCTCCTTAGTTTTAGTTTTAATTCAGAAAATATATCAAACACTCAAGACAGTGTTTGACCACATTTCCAAACACCTCAAATGTCGTTGCGAGTCGTATTTTCAACTCTCTTCTCGGTCTTTGGAAATGTGGTCAAACACGGTCTTTCGTGTTTGATGCATTACTTAGTCGCTTACAATTGTCAAACGGAAAGCCGTAGATAACCTCTCTAAGCCCCACTATCAACATAAAGCTTCCCCTAAGTGTTCTTCCTAATCGTTTATACGTCTAGTTGGGAGAATAGCTTTAAATATCAGTTTCTCCGAACTGGTCACTCGTGGCTATCAGTTTCTCCGATTTGGTCACTTGTAGCTAGTAAAGATTACTTTGTTTAGAGGACGAGGGGGAAAGGTGTAGCCTCGAGCTCGCGACTCGGTTTAGCTATGCCTAAACTCTGTGAATCTACGTGGGTTGACTATTGAAGAGTTTTCTTCTACACAGGCGAAAGGTGTCAAAGTCATCGCAGTCGGAGTCGGTAACAGAATCTTCAAAGAAGAGTTGAAAAAGATCGCCCTGGGTAAAGAAGAAAACGTTTTCCAGGTTTCGGATTTCGACAAACTGTCTAAGGAGCTGTTGCAGCCTATTATCGATGTGTCATGTCCGACTGGGCATTGTAAGTAAACGCAATCACTGTCTTGAGAATATCTCGCTGAGAATTACTTCTCTTCATTAATTAATCGGTTTTGTTTCCTTTTTGCGCAAAAAGTAAAGCAGTATTTGTTCTCCTTTTTTTTTCAGGAGCACTTATGACCCTCATAAAACAGACAGAAAAAGCCACATCTCTATTGTGAAAGAAGAGTCTGTCTTTACTAATTAGAGGATTTAGCAAAAATAAGACGGTTAAATGGAGAAATAAATAGTAAAAAAAGGATATTAAAGCTGAAAAATGTTCTTGTTTATAGTAATTACTGCTTTAAACACAGTTAAACCAAGCTTAACAGACAAGGTAGCGTGTGTCAGCGTGCAGTGACATCGATCCACATTTTGGGAGAAGTGTTGGACAACCGTTGTTCCGTTTGACAGTTTCTGAACGGTTAGGGGATCTGGGCCTAATTTCAGAGCGGCGCTGGACGGCGCATTCTCGTCCCCATAGCAATACCCCATAGTCCTTTTCGCTTGTCTTAGCCTGCTTAGAGAAGGGAGAAGGGCTGTGGGGACGAGAATGTGGACGGCGCTGGACGGCGCTGGACTAGACAAAGGCGTGAGTTTTCCGAACTAAATACTTTGATAAACACAGGAAGCAATCCCTTCAAATGGGAATTATTTGAAGTGGTTGAATCATTCAAACCCTAAACTGGTAAAAACTCCGCCCAATTCCACTGCACTGGCAGATACGTAAATTTAATGTATTTATATTCGATGGAACTAAACTATAAGGTTTGACAGTTGTAATGAAAATTCATCACAGCTTTCGAGCTTTCAAATTTTATGTTTAGACTTTTTGAAAATCTGGCAGTCTAATTGTAATCATCTCTCTTAGTGCACCTGCATAAAGTTCCCATTTTTCCCACTGGATTTGGGGGTTTTCGATTCGTATCAGGCGGCTGCACGAGCCTCATAGGCAGAGTGGTTTATATTTTGTAGTGTACCTAGCCAAACTAGTAGCTTATTTCCCTCCCAGCTAGAATAATATTGTAGAAGGCAGTAGCGATGTATTTTAATTTACGTTCAGGATTTGGGATTCTTGAAACATCTAAAGTTAAAGTAAACATCCCCTTATCAGACCTTTTTCTGTTTATCAGAATTCACTCTCCGTAGTGATTAATTTATACATGGTGTGTGCATTCTACTGTGTCCAGACTCCATTCCTATTAGGCTAAACCAACATTGAACTGGTCCAAGGAGACAACATCACTCAGAAAGTATTCCTTGTTTTCAATGCCGGCTTACAGTCCCTTCGAATGGGGCGTGATAATCTTACTGTCACAAAATCATATCTCGGCCCAACGTCTTGTTGAGTGAATGCGAAAGATGTAGCGAGTTTTAACTATCATAGGACGAAAAAAGCCGCAAAATATATTTTCTCCACTGGAAGCAATGAGTAGTCAAAACTGAAAAGGACAGACTGTGAGCAAACGCAGGAGAAATCTCTCACTTTAATTTGTCGCCTTCACGCATGGAAAAATATTAACTTTCAGTTACTCTCTCTTGCGTAACGCTTGACACTCTACGAAAAGGAAGGGCTTCGCGTAATCTCCAACAAGAAAGGCGGTAAGCAGAAAATTTGTGAGTTAGGTAGCACCCCCGTATTCATGGGCTTTAGCGATCGTCCGTAGAAGCAAGACGATGGTTGAAAGCCCTGTTTTGGAGGGAAATTAGCCTAACGAGCGGAGGTACTCCCGCGGGTACCCCGTGCCGGTATATTCAGACAACAACAATGGTCAACTAGTGAAGTTACTTTAATATGAGCTTCCTGTTTAAATCTTTGTTCCTTACCTTCTCTCTAAGTTTCTGCCTCTTCTGTAATATCCGTGTTCTTTAAATTGTCTCACTTAGTTACACTTTCTTCTAAGTTAGCGTTCACTATCCTGTAATTGAGCCTTCTTCTAAAATTCTCATCTTACAAGTCGACTGATGAAATTGTTCTCGACGGTTTAAGGATCTTTAATCACAAGCGAATATATTCAGTCTCTTTCCCTTACAGCTAATAGCTTAAAAGATCGTTATCAAATATTTATCGCGTGATTTTTGTAGCTTTTTTTGCTAACGAATTTTTTTAGTGCCATTAACCTTATCATACACATTGTGAAAATTACTGTTCTGAGAAAATGTAAACAAGTGACCGCGCCAAGTTTGACATAAAAATCCTGAACTGAAAATGGATTGAGATATCTGGAAGATACCTCAGAACTTGATTTCCTTTAGTTCTTCAGCTAATGCAATTTCTGGCAATTGACCTTGTTTTGATACAGACCTCACCGCTTTTGTTGTGAAAAACAAGTTGTTCTGATGCTAACTAGGTGCATATACATGACAAAAGCAGTGAGGTCTGTATCAAAACAAAGTCAACTCCAGCCTCGCTGCCATCCAAAGGCCAGGTCACTGAGCAGACAACTGTAAAATGGTCTATTGGA